ACTGAAATTAAAAAGAAGAAATATAAGAAAAGAAATGATTGTAAACATGCGGAAACTAGAAAATAAAATATTTAAAAAAAAAGTCAAAATATACCAAGTAAACTGTTTCGATATAAATATATCATGAATTGACTGAGGATCAGTTAAAAAGCCAATGAGAACCACCAGACAGTACACTGGTTTCATCTCTGTCTGGGACTCTCTTCAGCAGCGTACACCTATGACCCAAACAAGAATTGAAATGATATACTTCAGGTTACAAGGTGACGTCGTTGAACACTCACTCAATGACTGACTGACTGACTGGTTTCAACATAGAACTTTGCGCAAAGTTCAAGTCACCACACTCCATGTAGCACACAAAGCAAAAAGGAAGGCAAAATAGAGAAAGTAAACAGAGGTACAAGGCAAAAAAATAGTAATACAGAAGAACAATTTAGTTTTATTGAGTATTATAAGTCACAAGGAGTGGATGCATCTGCGTCATTGAGACCGATTTTGAGCCATATCACCAATTGTTTCTAACCATTGGTTTTTACCGTCCTGAAGACCCCAACTAGTCAGGAAGTCTACACCTTCCTATGTGACTGGCTGACTTGAACTAACTGTTGTGGATTTCATTGACTGATGAAGCCATGTTTTCGTTTGACCACCACTGGCTATTTTTCAACCTGACCGTATGTCAGCTAACATTGTCCATTATCGAGGAAGGCGATGGCTAGGCATGCATGCGTAACACATGTCCTAACCATCTCAGTCTATGTAGCTTCACATCCTCGTCTATTGATCTCCCATCTTTACCTAGTACTCGACCTATGCCTAACCTCAATATTACTTACCCTATTATACCACTTCACACGGGAGATAGATCGCAGGCACCTATGACCAAAGACAGCTATCTAGCCTTTTCATGTCTTTTAAAATTAACGAGTATTGAACGTTTGTTTTGTCCTAGTTTGAGACTCTTCATCTGTACCTGTACAACCCGGTAATCAAGCCTGACATCAATCAACTTTATACATACCACAACATTTGAAAATTAATCAGGCGCTTACTAATGACAGACTAAAAGATGAAGCTTTAATGAGACGTTGTCGTGACCAGTTGAAGTCGAAGAAGTTGGGTGTGACAACAAAAACACATTGGCTATCAGTTGGGTGACAAAAGGTTACAGTTACATTCCATTTAAGTAGATCAAGTTTTCATAAAAGTGTAGCAGTTTATGTCATAAATAATACACATAAAAGCAGAGAAATGTAAAGAAATTACAGTAGACAGAGGTATACGAAGCAAAAGAATAATTTACATGGGGAATAAACACAGTCGTTTTAATAGATGCAAGAGATCAGCAAGGTTCAGTGTGTCTACAACATTGTGAAAGATTTTGAGGGGCTACACCAGCAGTCTTCAACTTATTGATTCTTAGAATATCTTGAAGACTCTTTGCAGCTAGAACAGTAGTCTACACATCAACTCTTTTTTTTCCTTCACGTTCCCAGTGGAACATAGGGCTTTAAGCTAGTGGCTTAAAGTTTCTGTAGCAGTGTTTATTTTTACAGGATGGGGTTGCTAGCCTCATGCCCAACCTTTCCTCTTTACCAGCATTATTTCTGGCTTAGCGAGGTAAAGGAGTGCGTCGGCCGAGGATCGAACCCCGGACCATGTGCATGGTCGGCGAGCGTCCTAACCGCTGTGCCACCGACGCAAACATCAACTCTAATATGATAAATTATGAAAGGGATTTATCCTACTCTTTAGGTCTTCAAATATAAATGATTCGAATTTCTATAGTAATAACTGATTCGTTAGATGTCACCATAATGAAGATTAGATACCCAGATAGAAAAAGAATGAACAACAAGAACCTCTGGCAGAGGAGCAACGAACAAACCAACAACCTATCATCTGACAAATAGGCAGAATTCGACCGATGATAGCTGCTAGCTTGATGTGGTGGTGATCGGCGACTTGCATATTGCAAATAACCCAACAAGTTACACTGACTGGAACTTATGTTTCTGAAGGTCTTATCAGGTCAGGACAATTGTTAAGATAGCGATTAGACTAAAAGCAGTTACCGGCATAGTGTAAGATTTCCTTTTACACTCTGCTGGTGGTCTGTGGGTAAAGTCGTGCTGCTGGGGGACAGGGATATAACAGCACTAAGATGTTTCCCTCAGACGACTGGCATGCCAGCTATGCTGTCTCTACAGTGGGGAGGAAGGGGGTTGATCGCTAACGAAATCTCAGCACGGCTACAAAATGCTCGTTTAGCATATGCCAGCTTACACCATTTCTGGTGTAGACATGATATCCAATTTACTGTCGACCGGTAGGGGTGTGTAATGCTTAGCAGTCCGCTCCGTTCTCCACTCAGGAGAGAAGGGGTTAAAAAGGCCAAAATTTTAAATCCCAACTTACCCTACGGTGGTGTGTAACCGGTGGTAACTTTACTAAAAGCCAGTTCATATAGGTCTTGTGTGACCTGCCTCAAGCAGTTGTTCCCTGAGCTCTGCGGTCAGTCACGTTAAACTAACTCTCTGTTTCAGGTACCCCAAGAAAAAATCAACTTCCACGATGAGAGGATGGCCAGGAAGTAACAACCACATACGCACTTCCAAAAGCACACAAAGCCTTCCTGATCATCATCAACATCCTATATCCCTATCACCCTCATCATCTTGCTTCCCTATTACTGTAATTACTGTTCCGAAGACTGGTCAGTCAAATATGCAGAAGGAAATCGAGGTGAACTGGAGACACTCGCCGAGGAGGTCACTGAGTGACATCACACACACACACATCAGACAGACTATCAAGTGGAGGAGTTCAAACGGGAAATAACGAGCTCAGGTTGGATCCGACAGTGACATGAAGGAGATCGTGTGAAGAGGAGGAGAAGGAGGAGGGAATGAATGCTTGAGGACAGTTATGAAGTTAGCTGTGTAAAAGATTTTAGTGAACAGAGGTAAGTGGAAGTGGGCTGCTGCTGCTGTTGCTGAAGGCAATGTTCCAGTTGGAACACAAGGGAATAATGATGGTGATAATAACACTCTATCACAGTCCACAGAGCACATCAGTCAGTAAATAATACCGACCCACACACATACAGACACAAAGATGGAAAAGACCTACAAAAGATATGCAATTACCACTTTTTAGCATACGCTTACCGAAACAGATTAGCTTCATTCACCTTTGATAGTAAACGACAAGAAGAAGAGGAAGAAGCGGAAGAAGAAGACGTTTGTTCATCAGCATTATCGACTGTACATTGTGTTGCAATCTCAGTTAACCAGCTGAGAACATCACACCAACCTGGAGTAGGTGTAGTTGTAGTTGTAGTAGTGGGTGAATTCTCTTGACGGTTTAATGCCTTACTTTCTATTAACAGTACGCCACCACCTTTTGTTGAATTACAGTGCTCCTATAGGAAGAAAAAACGAAGAAAAGGTTTTAATATGTTTTACATCACAAAGATGAGATATTGTTATTATTATGCTTTCGTCTATGGATGACTGACTGACCGGTTTCAATATACACCTTTGCACAGATCTGGGGCAGTTCGAGTTGCCATACTCCAATGTGGTACACAAAGCAAGAGAAGATAGTTATAAACAGAAGTGTGAGTGAGGATAAAAGAATAGTAGTAGTATGGAAGAACAAAAAGGGTTTTATTGGATATGACTAGCAAGTCACAAAGAGTGAATGCATCTGCGGTAGCTATTTTCAAGTATTGGTTTTGTAGGGATTTGGTTTGATTGGTTGGAGGATTTCATCATGAACTGGCATCAGTTAAAGAACCATTGGAAAACCAGTCAGGGAGTAATGGAGAGCCGGCTGTTTCGCCATAGTTTCCGACTCTTCTTCAATGTGCACCCACCGGGGTTTGAACTCAGGACCTTCCAGTTACAAGGCGAGCTAGCTCGTAGACCATAAAGCCACTGGGACCCAATCCAATGGCCAGTGCATGAATTCTAACTTCTGCCAAATCATGACATAGAGCGACCACTTTGCAATGTCTTCTTTTTAGAATTCATGGGCCATTGGATCAGGTCCCAGTGGCTTAATGGTCTACGATCTTGCCTTGTAACCAGAGCCAAATCACCAATTGTCTCTAGCCATTGGTTCCTGGGATCCTGAGAACCCATTCAACAGGAAGCCTACACTTCCCCGCGTGCAGCTCAAACTAACTGTTAAGGATCGCTGTACATGAATGTGTTCAATACACATTTCTCTTAACAAATGTTCTGCGGTTCTAGTGGGGCTTAAACCTGGAATCCCGAATGGTTTTCTTCACGCGATAACCAAAGCCAAGCCAAACCAAAAGAATATGTGAAAAACCTGCAGAAACGGAGCGTCTTTAAACCCAGTGCTGAAGACATTCGTCCCATAGGGTTGTATTTGAGTTTTAATTCTTGAAGTTCCAACTAGTAATGATCACCAGTCGCCCCCCGAAGCTCAACAGTCTCTTTCTTTCAGGTGCAGGGGTGAGTCGGGTGGGAATCGAAGCTTAGTCTGTTGCAATGACTGACGAGCATTCTCCTAATGAGTCACTGACATGCATTCCTTTATCAACAACTGTCTTCGTTCTATACTGAAGATCAGATGGCCGGAAAGAATCACCAACAAGAAACTATGGGAACAAACAAAACAAGAACCAATTGCCCAACAAATATCCAGGAGAAAGTGGAGATGGATTGATTGGACACTCGCTGAGGAAGCCGCTGGGTGACATCGCGCATCAGGCCAAGGGTGACATGGAGGAGATCGTGTGAAGAGGAGTTGAAACAGTATGGACTAACATGGTTGCAGGTGAAAAGTAGAAGTAGCAGAAGACAGAAGCAAGTGGAGACGTGCAGTTGAAGCCCTATGTTCCACTAGGAACCCAAGGGAACAATAATATAATATAATATTCCTTTAAATCTAGTAGCATCACACACATACAATAAACTCTACAAATAATTTAGGAAAAAGATTAATCAGTCGATGAATCTTACCCTTAATTCAGCCAATCTTCCACGACCAATTTCACAGTAATCATTCCATCGATTCATACAAGCTTCCATATAATCAATATTATTGTTATTATTAGTAGTATCTCCTGAAAGCATATCTACCGGAATCAACATCATTCCAATGTCGTCATCAGCACCCTCCTCCTCTTCCTCCTCCTTATGTGGAACACCTGATCCAGTATTCTTTAAATGATTATCTCCGGGAGAAGAAGAACTAGAAGAACTTGGCTTCACTCGAGTATTTATTGATCTCTTACTTGTTGTATTAAACCAATTCGGCTTTGTATTCAACTGTACTTGAAGAAATCTGACATCATTTTCCCATGGTAACAAATCAATCAACAGGTCAGTAAAATAAAAGACTGTATGCCGAGATGAAAGGATGCAACAACCAAACTGCTGTAGTGATGGATGATTCTCTAACCACCCTGAGGATGATGATGATGTGTTTGTCAATGACAATAATGAAGGCAGCGGGCTGCAGAAGGTTTCACTCCACCATTGGCTATAAGTGATACCAGTTAGTCGACTATCCTCAGAGCATAATTGACGAGCCAGTAGAAGTACAGCAGTAAGACGTTGTCTGTCATGTTCTTTCATAGATGATGAAGTATCAGCATCAGAAGAAGTAGCAGTTCCTCTATTTTCACCAACATTTTCCTCCTCCTCATAATTGAAAGCATCATCTAATAGGCGGAGATAGTCTAATTCAAAGGTTTCAATATTTGTATTATTATTAGTAGTATTGAACTTGACAGTTGAACAATTGAACAAGGCTAACAGCAGTTGACGAATCATAGCTATAGAAATTAGAGGAAACATGAAATAATAAAAGAAAAAGCGGTTCAAGTTTATTTTAAGAGTAATACTAAAAACAAAACAGTGAATGATAAAAGAGTTATTTTTTAGTTCAAGATTGGATAAAATAGACTGAGTTAATCATTTTATACATATATACGTCCAAACCAAGTTTACTTTGAACAGTTTGACAATATTTGGCCATTGGGTATATACGATATTTAATTGGTGGGCCACGAGAGCCACCTCTTGTGCAACGAGTCTAGTGGATAACGCTATGGCGTTTGAAACTATGGGCACTGGGTTCGAGTCTCGGTGGGAAAATCATCACTCCCTGGGGAATGCAGATACATCCACTGGCTGACGAGTCCCAAATGGGACGAAATGCGCGTCATCCTGGATTCCACTGTTAGTCACCATCCACCAATTAAATTCTAATTAAATGTCCAGACATCGTCGAAGCATCTGCACAAAAAGCCGACATGTCAACCTGAGACCGACGGGAAAATCTAAGATTCAATTAATATATACGATATTCATTATAATAAAAGTTTTGTTGTATTTCGGACAAACATTACCAGAGAGAAATCAAAATCAGAAGAAATGAACACCGTAGAGCCACATCTGTTCGACCGAACATCGAGAAATCCAGTTAGTGAACTAGAAAAGCTTGAAAAATCATCAGCAAGCCATAGGTCGTCTGCACGCTACACTATAGAACCAAGCCACAAAACTGATTATGAAAATATTGAAATCATCATTCGGAAATAGTTTCAGAAATCACAAAGAACGTCGTCTGATATCATCAGAAACACTTCATATCAAATGGAATCCAAATTGTCTGGTAAATAGAAATGATGGACTAAAAGAGAATTTGACCTGGTTACGACATCCATCTCCTCCCCATGGGATGACAAAATCAACACGAATGTGATAAGCAATTTCACTATGTAAACACACGCTGCTTTTATAATTTTATACACTTATCAAATCCAACAATCTACACCTGGTTTTGTTATCTTTACCAATTGGCCAACTTGACAACGCGAAAATGCCCCCATGCTGAGGAACGATGATTAAATTGTTATATATAAGCTGAGTGGTTTTTGTAAATCTTGGTTTAATAATACTTTGATGAAGCTACTGGCAGCATTGAATAGTGAAACATCAGTAAAAACAACAATATCGTTTTGTTTTTCATTAATTGGGGAATCCAAAAAACCTTTATTATAATGAGTTAATCATTTCTAATGTATAAGTGTATAAGTATCGCTGGTTCAGGTGTAGAATGCTGGCCAGCTGTTCAAGTGGTCCGTTTTCGATACCCACCAACCGACCAGTGCACATTAAAAACCTCCTGTAAGATGGGAAATAAGACGATAAGTTTGACGGGTTTTAACATAGAACTTTGCGCAGAAGTACAGCAGTTCAAGTTGCCACACTTCATGTAGCGTTCACAAAGGAAGACAGAAGAGAAAAACTAAAATTAAAAGGAACTATAATGAGTAGAAATGTGAGGGAAAAACAATAGGGTTTAATGGATATAGGAGGACACGAAGAGGTCGCAATGCATCTGCACCAACCACTGACAATGAGGTTGAGCCATATCGCCATTGGTTCTTATCATCCCAAGGACCCCAATCAGACAGGCGTCTACACTTCCCAATGTGGCTGTCTCAAACCAAAAATCAACGACTTCATGGATTGATGTTAAATTTCTATCTGACCATCCCCCTTAACTCTTTTCCAGATTAAGCAATCCTATGTGAGCTGAGATGATTGCTCATCGATGAAGGTGACGCCTCAACGTGCGTAACGCATACCCTAGTCATCTCAAACGATATAGTCTCGTCAGTTTGATCGATTAACTTCTCCTCTATGCCTATCCTCAATATTCCTCACCATATTACACCGACTAAACATGGGAGATAGAATGAAAACATCTGTGCTCAAAGACAGATTGTTAAACCACATATTTAACCAGACCAATACGTGAAAAACAAAAACTGAGTAAAGAATATCCTTTACGATAATTTCCTCTTCTGGGTCTACAATTATATATGTGTATATACGGAATATTCTAGAGTAATCGTCATTAACAATATTGATGAACTGCTAAGGAAATTAGGTCTCCTCACACTTACCTACCATCGGTTTAGACAGAGACTTGATTACTGCCTACAAGATAACAAATGACCAGAATCACCCAAACAAAGGTGTTCTCCCGTTAAGTATGTACGGGCTTCCTCGTGAGAAACCAAGAAAGATAGCTCTCCAGAGGCGAAAGACTCAAGCGCGCTCCTATTTCTTTTCACTGATAGTTTGCCGTCGCTGGAACTCCTTACAGGCAGATGTAGCTTTAGCACAGTCCGTGGACAGCTTTAAGCGAAGGCTGGACAATCATGTAAAGCGACACAACGACTGAGTCTAAACAGCCTATCCCCTTAAAATCTCATACACTATTAATGGGTAGACATATAAACTCATCATGTTACTTCTTCACTTTTTCTCTTGTCCTACTCTCCTGACTACTCCAACTATCATGTCCACTACACTATTATTATTATCTGTCTGTTTTCGACATAGAACTTTGCATTGATGTTCAACAGTTCAAGTCGCCACACTTACTCCTTGTAGCACACAAAGCAAGAGAAGAAAGTAGACGAAATGCACAATAGGGACAGTAGACAGGGTTATGAGACAAAAAGAATAGTAATAATGAAGAACAACATAGTTTTATTGGAAATGATAAGTCACAAGGAGTGGATGCATCTGCGTTAGCCATTAACAACGATTTTGATCCATATCACCAATTGTCTCCAGCCATTGGTGCTTAACGTCCCGAGGACCCCAACCAGTCAGGAAGTATACACCTTCCTACGTGGCTTAAACCAACTGTTGTGTATTTCATTGACTGATGAAGCCATGTTTTCGTTTGACCACCGCTAGCTCTTTTCCAGCCTGACCCTATATCAGCTAACATTGCCCGTCGAGGAAGGCGATGGCTAGGAATACATGCGTAACACATGTCCTAACCATCTCAGTCGATGTAGCTTCACAGCCTCGTAGATTGATTTCCCGCTCCTTACCTAGCACTCGACTGAAGCCTAACCTCAATATTGCTCACCCTATTGTACCACCCAACATGGGAGATAGAACTCAAGAACCTATAAGCAAAGACAGCTAGCCTTTTCATGTCTGAAGTGAGTTAGGGTTAAGAAACTCTTATTATTATCACTGACAATTATATAAATGCATGTATCTAGAATATATATATATATACATTCTAGAATAGTCGTCATTAACAATATTGGTAATTTTAAATACTATCGATTTGTTAAGTAAAATCAATGGAATTACAGTTCAAGAAAGTCTCTTAAGTCACAATAAGGCATATGCGGTCATACACTTTACACATAGACAATTAGGTGCACTCACTCCTGAGCTCTTTCTAAGGTTGTATAAAACATACGTCAGACCGCATCTTGAAGTGCATAATATCATTGCACCCCCACTGCTTAAAAGAGACGCCAAACTCTTGGAAAGAGCCCAACGATGGGCAACAAAAGGAGTGGTTGGTCTCCGAAATAAACCATATGATGAAAGGCTGAAGAAATTAGGCCTATTCACACTTAGTTACCGTCGTCTTAGGGGGGATTTAATTACTGCCTACAAAATAACAAATGATCAGAATCACCCAAACAAAGGTGTTCTGCCATTGAGTAGGTATAGGCTCCCTCGTGGAAATCCTAGAAGGATAGCTCACCAGAGGGCAAGGACCCGGGTGCGCTCCCACTTCTTTTCACTGCGGGTTTGCCGTCCCTGGAATTCCTTACCGGCAGATGTAGCTATGGCACCGTCTGTGGACGCCTTTAAGCGAAGGCTGGACAACCATGCAGCGACACAAGGACTTCATCCAAATGGCCTATCCCCTTAAAATCGCATACACCATTCAAAGGTAGACAATTAAACTGGTCGTTTTACTTCTTTACATTCTCTTCAGTCTTACTCTCCTGACAGCTTTAACTACACTATTATTATTATTATCATTATTACTGGTATATATATATATACCGGTTGACTGACTGTTGTTACGTTTTCTTATTCTTTTTCTGTCTGTTAGTCTGAATACCTTCACTAATTATATCTATTATTATTATCTCTTTTCTATTGACGACGATACCGAAGGACCAACTGGTGAAAGGATCAACTCCATTCACAGTAGTAACAGTCTTAACACACCTCATACTACAAACCACATATAATTAATCCCTGCACTACTCCTTTTGGAGTCAACCAAAGCTACGGCAGTCGAGTGGCGGGACGAGCTACGCAGACGTTTACCGAAGATCAGGAACCTCTACCTCACAATCAAGAGGCGAGCACAAAGAAATCAAATTGGTTTATACTAGCTCGTAAAAACGATATTGGATATTGGAAATAAAACTAAGGAAATTTCCACAACAAATTGAGAATCCTTAAAACCTTAATGATCAAGGTGAGTAAGGACAGTGTCTGAACCAATCAACTTCTTCTTTGGATACATACATACATACATAAGTTAGGTTTCTTAATGTAGACCCCAACAACCAGCCTCATTTATATGTATAACAGACAAACTCTTAAGACAAAGTTAAGATAAGTTATAGAGTATGCAGTAGATAACTTTGAAAGCCGCCTGCCTTGTTAACACTACATCTTGTGTTCTGTATCCACAAGATGAGATAGAATAGAGCTGTGAGTGGATTTTGTTTACACCTTTCTTAATCACTTTGTGGGATGAGGTATGTTCAGAAATTTGACGACAAATACGAAAAATTTACAACAGAGAAGACAACACTTACATTTAATAGCAGTTACACCACCTTTAATACACGTCACCATAACAGATATAAGCTGTAAGATATGCAGCCAATCCACATTGTCTAAGCGATCATTTGTCAGCACGGCGAAAACACGTTCACAAATGAAGTTTAGATCTAATAAAAGAGCAAACTATCAGCGTTACTATGGTTATATTCTTTTCTCTTTTCTTTTTTTGAATTGCTTATGTCACTTACTTGCATTACAGCATATCTGATAGAAGTATCAATTTCTATGAAGTTGAAACATTCTTTTTGGTAGTAGGTATAAACTATTTGGTGTGCGAGGGGGAGGGGGAGGAAGGGGGTTAACAAAAAGAACTTTACTTACCTGAAGTCTTAGAAGACGAGTGTAAAAACTTCTCGAAAAGACACTCTAAAGACTGTTTAATCTCTTGTCTTGAGTGTACACTACATATTAATTTATGTATATGATTATGAAGTGTTTGCCAATCTGAAATATTAATAATCACAATAAAGAATGGAAAGTGAGATTAAAAATCCAAGTGAATTTGAAAATTTCATATAGATAATGGACATCAAATAATATACGGAGCAAGATATGCTGTGGATGCCTTTCGATGACAGTGCAGATAATTCACTGATTCCTTTAAAATTGAGAACTTTAAACTTTCACTAGAAGTGATGACTTCTCCCGCCCCTACCCACCTCCTTTTACGCTCCCAAGTTTCATCCTCTTGAACTAATGAACATCATGAGTGCCACTCGTAGAATGTTTGGCATACAATCTGATCCTGTCAAATGCAAATAAGGTAATTCTATAGGACTGAACTACATTGTTGCCTAGTTTGAAGATAATGACCACTTCACTTATTTGGGAAGTTGCATCAGTGTCCTAACAGACCGATCGTTGACAAAATCTCAGCAAAGATACAGAAGGCTCATGTGGCATTTGTCAGCCAACCTACGCCATCTCTAGCGTGAATGTGATATCCGACTGACTACCGAGCAAAGGATATGTGTACTGCACAGCACCAGTTTGCTACATCCTCCGTCATGGCTGTGAGACATGGTCATTATAAGTGGAAGATGTGAAAAGCTTAGTTGTCTTTGATCACAGCTGTCTGCCTGCTGTTTCCAGTGTTGGGTGGTATAATAGGATGAGTAATATTGAGGTTAGGCATCAATTGACGAGGTTGCGAAGTTACATGGATTGAGATGGCTAGGACATGTGTTATGCATGCCTTTCTCGACAGGTAATGTCAGCCGATATAGGATCAGGTTCTAAATGAGCTAGTGGTGATGGTCAAACCAAAACTTGTCATCAGTCCATGAAATCTTTAACAGTTGGTTTGAGACACATGTAAGCGTGTAGGCTTCCCAGGAATCAATGACTGGAGACAATTGGTGGTATGGGTCAATATTGATCTGTGGCACCGATGCACTTACTCTTATATCGTATCAAATTGATATGATTATGAGCAATAATTTATGCTCCAAACGTCATCCAGTTGTTAATACTGCATCACTGTGTGATTATTGAAATAAACTTATCTAATATGGAATTACATTCTACCACAGTGCCCAAGTGTTACCCTCTTGCTTATCTTGTGTATCAGTGAGTTGCCTATTCTCATCGAATCCCCCATGGTCCTCAATGCAAATGACTTAAAACTTTGGAGAGAGGTGAAGGGTGATAATGACACTATGAAGTTGCAAGGTGTCAACAGAATGTTAGAATGGTCCGAAGAATGGCTGCGTTCGATCAATGTTACGATGTGTACAGTCGTGTGCATTCCACGCGAAAGTGTCAGCTCATACGAACTAGAGGGAATAACACTCCCATCAGTTCTGAGGCATATGGACCTAGGTGTCATAATAAGTCACGCCCTAAAAACTACAGCACACTGTCACACGGTAGCAGCTTGAGGTTTTACGTCAATTACAGGCAATACCTAGAGCATTCACTATATTGAATCACCAGTGATATGTTCACGTCCTTATACGCATATCTGGTGAGGTGAAAACCGGAAAACTACATCCATCCATCTACCCAACCCTTGTTTTAATTAAGGGGCACTCATACATTGTAGAGAAGAACGAATATGGAAATCGACACAAATAATTCTCGACATTGACAATTTTTTATACGAGGAAAGACTCAATAGTTTGAATGTCTTCTCACTGTCATAATATTGGAGACAGAGAGGAGATATCATTACCATGTTAAGTTTTTAAAAAAAATGACCAGGGACCTCGTCTGCCTTCTTCATTCCTTTCCATTAGGTCTGAACATCTCAGATGGTATAGCAGCAGAATCGAAAGATCACGGAGGAACTCTGTCGCTGTGGTGAACTGATTCTCTCACCGAGTCATTAACTCTTGGAACTGAAACTGACTCCTCCAAGAAGGAATGAAACTCAGAAACTATTTATTGGAAAAGATGTACTATAAACTTTAGGCTTGCTATCTTTCGACATCTAAGTTTGACTGCTGAGTACTCTATAATCGTTTATGTTTCCACAAGTAATTCAGAATTTTGGTTAGACTTTGTAGAATCCATTTTGTGGGGCATACCTGACCGATCCACACTGCGACGTCCATTTACAACTGCAAGATATCCTATGTGATAACTATCACATGGTGAAAGCTCTAATTATATCAATATCAATTATATTATAAGTGCTGACCATCTAGGGCTTGGAGTCAGGAAAGACTTGAAGCGTGGTGGCAAGGCTTATGCATACGGATATTTTGATGATGAGTGGGAGGTAAGAGCGCTGAGAACTTGACGAGGAAAGCCAGTGTGTACTGAACTTCCGCCGGCAGTGCTGTTAACCGAAAGCAGTGTTCAAATATTAGGAGTAACGTGGACGCACATATTCCTATTTTGTGTACTATATCTAACATAGGAAAGAGTAGGTTATTTCAAACTTGACGAGGAGTAATTCAGCATTGCTCTAAGCTTGGCACATTTCTTCATCCTAATCAGGACTAATTTAACCTCTAACCCTCATCTTCACTTCATTCGTGATCACTAAACCTGAACATACCGCAACTCTCATCCAGGCCTCAACCTTAACCATAGACACTAAAACTAGTTATGTCCGGTCAGTATAAAACTCTTGAAGCAAAATTAACATTGCATTGTAGACTGGTGATATGATTTTTTTTTCAATACTATTTGGTCGTTGCTATAGTGTATCTCTACTCTGAAAATGACTTACCTATTTCATTTTCCGTCAGAGACATGTTTACCAGTGGTGAAACAAATGCTTGGATTGTAAAATGTGTATTTGACCTTCATTTAAAAAAGTGCCAGTCTTTGCCTTGAAAAGTGCTTTTCAAAACACACTACAACAAACAATCCTGACTCAGAATCAAGATTTGTTGGTTGAAGAAAGTTTGAGACGTATGTTAGTGATTTTATGATAACTGGTTTCTGTGCGTGTATGGGTGCTTCTTGAACTAGTAAGCTGAGGACACTAGTACCACTTCTGGGAGTCGTTGCCAAGATTTTATAGCTCGGCGAGGGAACCAGAACTCCACGATGTCAGGGTTTATCCTTGGCTTTCGAACTCTTCTGCTCTGTCTTCTGAGTTCTTCATATCTTATGGGAAGGAAAACAGAAGGTATATTATATCCATAAGGCAGGTTACAAATTTAGAGAAAACACCTTCACACGTCAAATATGAACGTGAATTCTAGGATCAGTACTGGATGGCACATCTTGTATTGTATTGTTTTCGATTAGGTTTCCTGCATTTGTAGACATTACAGGCGTAATAAAAACTGCCCTGTAATTGCTAACTTCTGTTTGAGTGTGGTGAATGTTATTTTTCATATATCTAAGTAAATCAGAGTTTCTCAATATATGGTAAAGATTTTAAGCAATAATAAAGAAACTTTGAAAAACACCGTGCATATAAAACATGATGCTATACCGTCATTTGCAACAGCACTAGTGCTATAGATATTTTTAATGGTTTAGTTATTGTTAGCACATGTGAACTCAACGGTAGCAACTTGTCCAAACCCGGAAAAGCTAGAAGCCTGTGCAGCCTCACTAGCTTCCCGGTCGGAAGGAGAAGGTTCTTAATCTTCGGTAAACTTTAGTGAAGTCCATAAAGCTACTCGACTGCACTGGAAGTTGTGGAAGGAAAGGTTACATGCCTGCAGCAGTATTTGGCGTGTTAAGGCTGTGTAAATGCAGTTCATACTCCCACCCATTATTCGTCCAGTGTGGTCAAAAAGCGATACAATAATAACAGATGTTATTAATGTATATTATATGGACTTATAAAAAAGAAGTACGAACACATAGACAATGAAGTTTGATAAATAAAAAGTAAGTAGGTAAAAATGACCAAGCCTGTCATAATAAGTTGCGGCACGAAAATCATAACAAACTACGGGTGAGTTATAGTTCAAGGCTTTTGGAAGCCGGGCGACAGACAGGTTCTTTACAAGAATAAGTTTTGTTAATTTACCACTGTACATACTTATATCAAAAGACTGATCAGTTAACAAGTAATATTCTTCTCGATAACTTGTCAGTTTCTTCAGTTATGTATCCATAATAATGAAAGAATTAGGGTTATCAACGACCTTAATGTCTAAACAACATAGAATCAATCGATAGTATGAATAGAATACAGTTCAGTAGCGTCTGTAGGCGTCATAATATGCATCAACATAACATTACACACTGAATGTCAGACAAGTAGGGAAAAGTGGTGGTACAGAATTCATGAATTTATAGGCCCCACAGAAGGCTAGATCAATAATAGTGACTGGCTAGATCTGTTTCTCCCGCAGACAGAGCATCGGTTATTTCAGGCTAATCTCAGTAGCCTCTGAAGTTTGGAGTTTGCGATACCTGGGTGCTTTTGGTAGTTTATTCGGTACCTGATAGATGATGGAGAGGTAATCTTCAGTTTTGTTGCCGGTTCGGACCAGCTGGTCTACTATAGAGCTGTTGATGATTTTCACTACACCCTCATTTGGCCACTTTGGAAGGTGTTCAGAGCAAGAAAAATCAAGTTTGCAGAGCAATGGTCAACAAAACTGGCTCCATAAGCGTAGCCGAAAATCAGCTGAATCTAAGGCAAGATACTTTCTGCTAGCAGAAAACCTTGTTTAAAAGCAACTTAAACATGCCAGATATCTGGTTCCTGACTGGCCAGACTCTCTTGGAATGAGCTGGATTTTTATTTAAGTTGCTTTCCTTCATCTTGTTACAGAGACCGTCGGAATCTGGTCTTGACGTTCAGATCTTCAGCGGGTCAAAGGAAACCGGCAGCCACAATGGAATAATACTAGCGAACAGCATAGTTGTAAGTGAAAAGTAGATATTTGATTCAAGACACCATTGTCGTGAGATCCTCCAGAGATTCTCAGTCCACACATCTGTACCACGGGAATATTGTTACACTGGCTGTCTATACTCTTACGTTCTAATACAATGTAGTTTAGAAACAACTATGTACAAATCCAATATATAACGCTCCGCTTACTCCCTGCTAAAATAGAAGATTAGGCATTTTCAAGCGATTTACACATTACGACTACAAGTGGTAAAAAGCAATTTAGAACCGGTTCACGAGTATGTACATGCCATTTAGCTGTTCACACTTTACAATGGCATAAAAAGTTAGATTGTAGTAGAATTTATTAAACTATTGAATCTTTCCAAGCAAAAATCCTACAACAGTGACGGACAGACAAAATTTAGCCTAAATCAGGAATGATCAAGGAAGTCTTTGAAACAACTGTTCGGAACAAACAGATAAAATAAATTACACCAATGAGATTATTACCAATTAAAAATCAATTCTTGATAACTACTCACAAGGGGGTGAAATTTGACATTTTATCAATTCATGCAAGAAACAACGAGAGAAATACAGCAGTCTAATAGAAAATAGTTAGGCAGCTGGGGAAACAGTCTAGTCCCCGAGGGCTCTAATTTTATAATAAATATCCCTCCGGTTTGACTTATTTTAAAACAGTATTTCCATAACAACTGGTCTCGCCCTTCCATCTTTCTCCTTCTCATTCGTAGTGGCTGTGTTGTGATTGTCTTACCTATCCTACAACCTGTCTTTTTGTTCCAACTATCGTTCATTTTGTCTTCGCATTCTCTCGATCCCCTTTCTACTCCCCTGGTACCGATTTCTCTAGTGTTTTTCAACACAGCTGCTCTGGTAAAGACTATGAATTCCCTCCAAAATAAACTAATTTACTTCTTCTTACTATGTATAGGAGGGCTACAACAACCAATAGGAAAGGTTACATTGCGATACGACAGTGGTCTAGAACAATGCTGAAGAAACTACAAGAAACCTCAAGGTTTAAATATGCTCATCGGAAAGATACTGGGTTTTAAACCAAAATTAATGCTTCTATACCATTTAAGAAAATATGAGTCTAAAGTCGAAGGCCAAAGCTATGATGTGTTAGCACAAGAAGTTTAACTGTAGAATCCAAGGTCATGATTGTGGTTTTTCATCACATCTGTCAAGTATATATAGCCAGAGAAAATGTACACGAAATTGGGGATGTAAAATAAACTCGTTCAGCGATTCTTCCAGCTAATATTCCAGGCGTTTTACCTCTGAGAAGTGGTAAAGTAAAAACTCAATCATTTGAAGTTGAACTTCTCTCTCCGGCATTCATGAACAGCTGTTGGGAAAGTTAACGAAAACTGAAATGACATTCGGCCGGTCAACTGTCATGCTAGGTGTTTGCATTGCAAACAGTCATGAATTTCTAGGCCCTCATAATGTCAGAAAAAGTTTTTGTGAAAACGATTCTACTGGAATGCTTCATATTATAAGCGCTGAATGGAAACCGAAGCCACTACACAAAACTTGGCAGCCAACTTTCGAGCATTTTGTCAGTTACTTATGGTTAAGTAAGCTACGTGTTTGGGGCGAACTAATGATTAGTGGAGCGGGTTTATAACATGTCTTATCAACGATGCTTATCACAGTATTTCCACGTTCATGCGATGATGTAAATAATGCATTGTTTAGATGTTTGACACTAAAGTATGAATTGGTAAAAGTTTTATGAGATATCCGTTTAGGCAGCTTCAGTGCTTTTGCTACTTTTTTGACACGAGATGTCGTTTCTTAGTCATACCAGGGCTTCAGGCTTCAATGCTGGGCACTGCATTTTTGTGATTCTAGGCCTCTATATGTGGTCTACTGCATCAGAAATTTTTCGTTCTCGCTTGTGTCTAGGTGATACTCTCTTGAACTCAGGGTTTCTGAAATGTGTTATATAATCGTCCGACTATGGTATCAGTAATCATAATTTCTGTTTCTCGAAAAGATAAATGTCATTTTCACAGGCGTTAATGAGTGTATATCACGATAAACTGTTAGGAATTATTACATGAATTCTTATTACAGAATGACAACGAAGAATTTTTAAAATAACGGAAATATTGAAAAGAGTATGAGCAGTTAGACATAAAATTGATAAAATTGGCTTTCGGATGAATACGTTATGAGGAAATGGGTCATAACAAAACAACGAGTCTATGTACACCTGTTGCTTGTCACTTTTGCACGGGATTCTCAAGTTTGCGTTGTTAGGATGCAAGATGACTGGCACTAATGCGAAACAGAGGGCCCAGAGTTTGTCAGGTATTGTTGCTTCATGAGGTGTGAAGCTCACATCACAACTTGCAGTACAAGATATGCCGTTTGAAAATTGCCACAACTCCTCGGTCACTGACAAGCATAACATTATTTTGATGTTATCAGTTGTTTGGAACCAGCTTTGAAATTACTCCCAGATCACGTGACAAAGGTTCCAATATCCAATATCGTTTTTACGAGCTAGTATAAACCAATTTGATTTCTTTGCGCTCGCCTCTTGATTGTGAGGTAGAGGTTCCTGATCTTTGGTAAACGTCTGTGTAGCTCGTCCCGCCACTCGACTGTCGTAGCTTTGGTTGACTCCAACAGGAGTAGTGCTGGGATTAATTATATGGCGTCTGTAGTATGAAGTGTGTTAAGACTGTTACTACTGTGAATGGAGTTGATCCTTTCACCAGTTAGTCTTTCGGTATCGTCGTCAATGGAAAAGAGATAATAATAATAATAGATATAATTAGTAAAGGTATTCAGACTAACAGACAGAGAAAAAATAAGAAAACGTAACAACAGTCAGTCAACCGGTATACATATATATATATATACATATATATATATATATATACCAGTAATAATGATAATAATAATAATAAGTGTAGTTAAAGCTGTCAGGAGAGTAAGACTGAAGGGAATG